CCCCACAGAGGACATCTGAGGAGCTTAAGTCCTGCACCCCTCCGTTGCAGGGCTGTGGGAGAGGTGTCACAACTCTCTCAGCTGGAGCTCTGTGAGCAAGCACTTCGCTGTCAGTCTCTTGAACTCTGTCCTTCCCGTTAATGATGCTCTTGAAAGAAGAAAGCTGGGGACTGGGGAGACGGCTCGGTCAGCTAAGTGCTCACAGCGAAAGTGTGAAGCTGTGGGTTCAGATCTCCACAGTTAAAGGCTCCATGGCACTCGTCTGTAATCTCAGCAGTCACAGGCTCTATGCTCTCCTCTATAATCATCTCAGCCCAGGGAAGACAGGGATGAGAGACTGCTGGAGCTCTGGTCTGTCTGGCCAAGGCAGGGAGGCTCTGGTTCTGGGAGAGGCCCTGATGCATAAATGGAAGGTAGAGGATAACTGAGAACACACGGTGCCAGTCTCTGGCCCCCATATATGCAGGTGTGCACATGTGTGCACATACATGCACACGCATACTTGCACACACATGCACAAGCATGCACACATGCACATACATACATTCATACATACATACAAGAAAACTGAGTTTAAGTTCTGCTAACAGAAGCTTCCTCTATAGTAGTATTTTACAAATAACCAGTTGTCTGAGAAAACGTGTGTGTAGATATGTGTGTGCCCGTGCGTGTGTACTGTGTGCCCGTGCGTGTGTATTGTAAGCCAGAGCACAACCTCGGCTGCTCATGTCATTCCTCAGGTCCCATCCACTGTTTGTTTGTTTGTGTGTTGTTTTTTTGAGTCAGTGCCCCTCACTGAAGAGGTCAGGATAGCTGGTCAGTAAACACCAGTGACCCACCTGTCTCTGCCTCCTTCCTAGTGCTGGAATTACAAGTATGAGCCTGCACGGGTTTTCGTTTGTTGTTTTCAAGATGGGTTCTGGGGAATGGAACTCAACCTCTCATTCAAAGCAAGCACTTTAGCAAATGAGCTGTGCCCCCAGCCCCTGAGTGACTGTACCTCTGCCCCTGAGTGACCGTGCCCCTGCCCCTGAGTGACTGTGCCCCTGCCTCTGAGTGACCCTGCCCCTGTACCCCCGCCCCTGCGTGACTGTGCCCCTGCCCCTGAGTGACCATGCCCCCAGCTCCTGAGTGACTGTACCCCCGCCCCTGTGTGACCATGCCCCCGCCCCTGAGTGACCGTGCCCCTGCCCCTGAGTGATTGTCTCTGACAGCTCTTCTTCTCTCTCCTACATCCCTCCCAGCTTCCCAGTTATCACTGGGTTCTCTCAGTGATGTCTTCGCTTCCGGCAGAACCGCTCTTGCACAACTGCTCCATTGTTCATTGCACACCTGTGAGTCATGCTCCGTGTTGTGGTCAAGGACAGGCTGTGGATGTGACAGAGGTGGCAGGAGGTTCTGTCGCCTTAGGATCCATAGTTTGCATAAGGACTCTCTAATGGCCACACCACAATGCAGTTGTCTGTCTCACTTCACCCAGGAGAAGTGTGTGGGCAGTGACTTCATTTGATTTTGTGGAAGTTTCTTCTTACGGTACTGTTGGATTCCTTTGAATCCAAAAGGCTGGCACACTGGAGAGCATGGGCTTGACCACCATGAGGGAACCTGCCAGGTTGCAGGGCCCTGTGTTTGGAGCAGCTCCCGTACTAGTGGCCCTGACTGCCGGCTCCAGCACATGTTGGGGGTGTTGAACTGGAGAAACTGACCAGTAGTCTGATGTCCAGGAATGTCAGTGCGGAGCCCCGAGCCTGCCAGGAAGCACACTCCATGAGAGGGAGAGAGAGGAAAACCAGTGAGGGAATGAAGGCAGAAAGATGTGGAAGGCTTTCCTTACCCAACAAACTTTTCGCTGTTGCTTCCCCAGAAAAGGCAAGTTTCCCTTGGTGTTTCTGCCACTAACCCCTCAGTCCAAGAATCCGTGGAACAGAGAGCAATCATGGTGGACTGAGGTCAAACCCTCACTACAGAGGCTGGTCCGCAGGGATTCCCCTGTGACCCTCACTAGAGGGAACAGGCTATTGGTGGCAGACCCATGGTGGCCCTGTGAGATGGAAGTGGTCCTTTCTGCTTGCTGCAGTATCTGTCACAGCTCCGCAGCTCTAGGGTTCTTCTGTGCGGCTCCAGAATGCTCCCTCAGATACCACACATCATCCAGGGAGCTCTATTTAAAGCTTCCTAAAGACAAAAGTGAGGAAGACAATTATATAGATTGCAGGGGCCAGAGGAAGGAGCTCCAGAGAAAGAGAAACTCAGAGCCAGTAACAATGTAACACAAACAGTTCGGCAAATAGCAGAGCAATTTCCAGCTAATAGGACGGAACACCTGAATCCATTCACATGCCTGATTAGACACCAACAACGCACACCCATAGAGGAAGATTATAACTTGTACTATGTCTTCCCAGAGGCAGCGTCTTAACCACTGTTTGTATGCTTCTCCAATTACATTCCTTTAATTCTTTCATTTAGAAAACAGTTTACATTATAATAGCCGGCATCACTTCTGTTTTTAAAACAATTGGTTGTATGTATATTGCCAAATTATGGGTCTGTGGGATATTTTCATAAGTGAAAACAACACAAAAGGGCTTTGGGAAGGATCTTCAGCTGGGAGTCTCTGACCTGAGGGTCTGCGGGGTAAAGGGCATCCCATGCTCAGCTGTCCTGCATTCACCAAGGGGCACCCGGAAGGCAGAGAGACCCTGCTGGGCTTTTGGCCTGGCTTACCCTTAATCCTCTTCTGGCAAGATCATGAGAATATACCAGAACCAACCTTGAGAAACAGGTCATCCATGTCACCCCAGCTGAGAGAGGACAATGGCCAGAGTGCTTGAGAATAGCTCAGCCCAGCCCAGATTCAGACTGTCCCACTGAGCCCCACAGAGGGAGAGCCCACGGACTGAAGAGATGCCAGCCATTCTTAACACTGAGCTTCTCAGAAATCTTAGCCTGTTAGGAGGAAGCCGTGGCTCACCCAGAGAAACTGTGGTGGTTGGACAAAGAGGACACTGAGGTTCAGAACAAGTGACGTGTCCAGACCACTAATTGATTCGTGGCTGGGCCAGGAAATAAATCATGCAATCTGACCACTCAGGAGCCTTGATCACAGTGAACATGGCCCGTCCAGAGTGCCACTAGACTTGAGACATTTTCCCAGGAGCATTGTAAGCAGGAAGGAATTTCTACAGGAGGGAAACTACTTTGCTCTTCTCCCGTAAGTGCTGTGCACAAAAGGAGCCTAAGCAAGCTTCAGAACCCAGAGCGAGGCAGGAAGCAGCTGGGATCCCCAGGAACATTCTGTAGGATGCTGGTTCCACAGCCACAGGTCACGACCTGCTGCAGGAACTGAGATATTTTCTAAACAGTTACCCTCTTGTGTTTCTATCACTTGAATTCTCCATGGTAAGTATGTGTCACGGTATTTACTCTTAACAATGGAATGTTCCAAGGTGTCGTGGGTGCTAAACTCCAGAAATGAGGATGACTGCTCTTATAACCTTTCTGAATTCATACATATCCAAAAGTCAAAACATTAAGGAAAGTCTGCTTATTTTTTTTTTTTAAAAAAAAAGTGCTATGGGGCTAGAGAGATGGCTCGATGGTTAAGAGCACTGGCTGTTTGTCCAGAGTCTCTGGGTTCAGGTCCCAGCACCTAGATGAGGGCTAACAACAGTCTATAACTCCAGTTCTAGGGAATTTGACACCCTCTTCTGTGGTGCGCCTACATCCATGTATTCAAAACACCCACACAAATCATTCTTTGAAAAGGCCCAATAGCATGAGCATGGCAGTCCACACTTGTGACTCCATCACTTGGGAGGTAGAATCAGGAACTCAGCCATTCTTGGCTACACACTGAGTTCAGGGTCAAGATGGCATACATGAGACCCTGTCTCTAAATTTTTACTTATTTTTATTTTATGTGCATTGGTGTTTTCCCTGCATGCATATCTGTGTGAGCCTGTTGGGTTCCCTGGAACTGGAGTTACAGACAGTTGTGAGCTGTCATATGGGCGCTGGGAAGCGAACCCAGGTCCTCTGGAAGAACAGTCAGTGCTCTTAACTGCTGAACCATCTCTCCAACCCCCACCAATATTTTTAAAATTAAAGTTATTTAAACAACAACAACAACAGTATTTGCCTCTTCCTCCTGGAACCTTCTCAGAAGACACAGGAACCAAATGCCTGGGACTCATGCCAGTCCACTGAGAGTGCAGCAAGGATGGGTATCTACTTGTCCCAAGCCAGATATGCCAGTGAGCTAAAGTCTGCTTTCAATAAAATGACTGCCAATGGATCAATATTCTGAATTCCCTCCTTATTTTAATACTTTAAAAAATCCATGCAAAGGGGCAGTTGTATATAATTCTTGCTAACAGGTAGCAAAAACCAGAGGAAAATTTGGGAGACTATCTATAAACTGGAATCCCAGGAAGCAACTGGTACCCTGATACCCCATTGCCTCCATCCGATAAACCCAGTGTCTCTGCAAACAGGCAGTAAGAGCTCTGTGGCCTGAGCAGCTCAGATACCGTCTCTGAGCAGCTCTCTCGAGTCTGGCCAATGGGTTAGCAAATGTGATACAGGAAGGGCTTGACTCTAGTGGTGTGCTGTCTCCCCAGCAGTGGCCAAGCTCAGTGAACCACAAGAGAACAAGAAGCAGGATACGGCAAGTTAGAGGCGTGAAGTCACACTGGACCGCTGGACGAATCAGCCCTGCAGATTCTAATCCACAGTTACAGATGACAGGACACACTGGTTACTTTAGGAGACCAGGTTTGGGGATGACCATACAGATTATCTTTTGGGGTGAATCTTCTCTGCGAGGCTGGGTCCTACATCCTGCTGGGCCAGCATAGAGGGGTTCACTACCATACCAGGGCCTGGCCATGTCCCTTTGTCTTCAGTCACTGAACTGAGTTACACCTGGAGAGCTGTGGTCACATGCCCGGGTCCTATTCAGATCCTTTATTAGCTCAGAGGGCTCAGATCATGACACCTGTGTGGTCCACAGTGCTCTGTGTCTTTGGGGCTACCACAAAAGCTAAATTCCTCACTCTCATTCTCTGAGGTTGATTGATTACGTCTACCCAAGAAAGCCTCACAGGCCAACTCCTTACACCAACAATAAAGAGCCGAGAGTTACTGGTGGCAGCCATCCTAGGGTCTGCACTGAATCTGGAAGGTACGGTTGGCCTTGTGTGACCAGGTCAGTTCCTGCCCCTTGATTCTAGCTGCTGGGCTACGGCCATGGGTAGGCTCCTGGCAGGTCACAAGAGCTACTAAGGCTTGTGAAAGTAGACCCACAGGGAGGGCCCACGAGGGGTGTTTAGGGGTGTGAATGGGTCAACAGCACCACACAGGGAAATGAACCCCACGCAGGACAGGACCTCAGTTCATTTCCTAACCATTCCGTCACAAGTCCATGACATAGCACACACTCTGTAATGGGGAAAGAACCCAGATCACTTCTTGGTGGTGATGTCACAGGTCCCGGACATTCCGTGTATCCAGGAGACCAAGGCTGAGGAAGCTGAAGACTGCAGGGAAGGGCGTCCTCCGGTGACTGGAGGGACCATGGCAGTGAATAGGGGAGTAGAGACCTTCTTATCTGTCTTCCTGCTGTGCTGCTGGTATGGAAGTGATCTACAGCCGATCAACTCCAATTCGACTTCAGGTAGGGCCGCACGGAGGTGGGTGGACAGAACTTCGGCCTGGATGCCGTGGGAGTGGCCCTTCTCCTTTGTGCCCTCTTCTTTCCTGGGAACTTGGGGAAGAAAGAGAACTGGAAGGTTTTCCATCTTTGAATATCTTTCAAACAGGAATGCCAGGGAGCCGCTAAATATTAACTTAACGGGAATGTTCTAACGTATCCCAAGAGAGAGGAATAATGTCACAAACTACCGTGTGTCCATCCTCAGATTTAATAACTGCACATTTCCCAACTTTTTATACACACATCTGTATGCACCATACAATACATATATAGACACATACATATACACACCAGATGAGCATGTGTGTGCGTGCACACACACACATATCCTTCTTTTGGGGAGCAATCAGCACTGTCCCAGTAACTTATGACTCTGTGAAGTGGGTAAAATATACCCAAAGATTACTTTAAAAGGACATATGAATTCTGGATCTGTTCTGTGCACACAGTATGAAGCACTGCCTTCCTCTGTGGCCAAGGTCTCTTATGTCATAAAACCATTTCTGGGAAAGAGACCATTAAAGTCTGAGACCACAGGTGAGGGCAGAGGAGGCACACTGGTCAGCACCGGCCATCCTTGTCACGCTAGCAAAGTCAACAGAATCCTTTATTCCACCCAATACCAGTGAAAGATACAATATTCCTGGTGCTTCTTAATGATGGTCAGGTAGCCAGAGGTGGTCGTATATGCCTTTAATCCCAGCGCTGGGAAGCAGGGGCAGGGGCATCTAGGCCATCTGGGACTACTTTAGCCACGGTGGATAATACTTTGGATGGTCATAGAGGGAGTGAGGCTCATGTCCCAGGAAGGACAGAAAGATCCGCAGCCTGGGACTAGGCAGTGGTGGATGGAGGGTGCTAGGAGGTTGAGGAATTCTTTCCTGACTGACCTAGGGGTTATCACTGTGGGCAGACAGAAATGATCAGTAGGGAAGGTGCTGGGGCTCAGGAACAGGTGATCAGACACTGGTGAGGACTTCCGTGGGTGTGGGTGTGGGTGTGGCACACCTGAGGAGGCTAAATCAGAGCCTAGGTCAGGCAGACTGAGTGAGAAAGATCGACCAGAAGCAGTTCCCAGTCAGTCCCTCCTCATCCTTTGCCTTTTGAACAGTACAGTTAGTTTTGTGATTCCCCTTATGGGATTTGCTGTTGCTCTTACATAGGAGTAGACGTTGCTTCCCAGCACCCAGGTTGGATGGCTCACAACCAGCTATATATAAGTCTAGCTCCAGAGGATCCAACACCTTCTTCTGATCTCCATAGGTGTATGTGTGTGCATACACACACACACACACACACACACACACACACACACAGAACACACAGTCACCCACACAGAAACAAGTAATAAATCTTTAAAAAAGAATAAATATGCTTTAAAAAGTACAATTTCAACCTGGGTTTGGTGGTGCACATCCTTAATTCCAGCACTCAGGAGGCAGAGGCAGGACTCTGTGAGTTCAAGGCCAGCAGCCTGGTCGACTTAGTGAGCCCCAGAACAGACAGGGCTGTGAAGAGACCCTACCTCCAAAAACAAAAAAATCAAAACAAAAACAAGGGTAATTTCAAAGTTTCTCAGAGTTAGTGGATAACACACCAATGATGCTCCAGACAAAGGCTCCAAGAGCATAGCCACTTGGCGCTGCTCCAACAGGCCACAGTCTGTACACTTCAACAACCCCTCTTCTCCTCCCTGGGTCCATGAGGACCCCAAAGGCCAGTAGACACTCTTGGAAATATCGGCAGGCGAATTCTGGCCTCTTAGTCAGTGTCCCGAGACTCCCTGCAGACACGCTTGGACTGTAGCTGAGTACACCTGCTTTCAGAAAGGCATCCAGGAAAAACAAGGAGTGTCTGCAGAGAACCTAGGCTCTCAAACCTGCTGCGTGCCCACCATTCTGAGGTCAGAAGGAGGAGGTGGTCATTCTCACAGCAGCCAGTGTTTTACACGATGGCCAATCACACGGTCCATGGACCTATCGCGGCTAGTAAAGGCAAGGCAAACCTCTGGAACTCTCAGACAGCTGCTGGCACCTGACATACCTCCACAAAGGTGGGACTCAAAGGATTCCATGCTACGTTACTCCACGGAGCTTTCCTGTATGATTTCAGTCACTAATTAGCTGAAGAGCTGTCTTTCACACGATGACAGAACAAATCCCCGGAGACTTTCCAGGGGCCTCTGGGAAATTTCAAAGTTAGCTTGAGGTCAGAAAGACTGAATTTAGAATTTAATTCAGAGGTGTCAAAAAAATGCCAAGCGCTTTGAAGAGTTGACTGAGCTCATGTCTTCTATGGAACAGTGCTTAGCTTCCCAGCTAACTTAAAGGACAGCGCTTTTCAGGGAAAGGGAGGAGGTAGATAGTGGTTAAAGGGGGGAAATAACCTACTCTCACTCTCTCAATATTGAGAGGGTTCCACATTCTTAAGTAATAAAAAGTTTGAAAAGACAACACGAAGCACAGGAAATTATTTTGGTAAGAACGGAGCCTTTGTCTATATGGGAGGCTTCTCAACAGGTAAAGAAAACACTTGTACTCTCTTATGAAGAGGAGGCTAACAGGCCAAGGACTCTGCCCTTTCAGCACAGAGAGAAGCCGAGGCCGTTCCACATGGCCGCACGCCTGATACCAGAGCTCATTTCAGAACCTGACAATGGCTGTCCATTTACCCAGTCCAGCCATGGGAGATTAGATTTCTCTTTTTTCTCATAGATCCTCACACCTTACCCTACCCACTTAGGGGCTTTTTGTTCCCTTCTTTCCCCCTCTTCTTTATTAAATAACTTTTAAACTATTTATGAAAAAATGACTTTCTTCTCTCTTTAACAAAGATCCATCCTTTATGTCTCGCGGCTTCCCTGATGAAACACAGATCACTTGGGCCGAAGCCTGCTTGCAAAGTCTGTCTCTCCTTCCTGGGTCACGGGAGTTTTAATTACACGCATAAGGAGTAATTTGAACAGAGAAAACTTAGAGACTATGAATTATCGGTCACCATAGTGGGGGGCAAGTTTCCTGAACTTCCATCTTACACAGCTTAGAGTTGTGACTGTATTATTTTAGTGGGTGCGGGTGTGTGCATTTGTGTAGAAGTGTCTGTACATGTGCACGTGTGTGCACAGGCATGTAAAGGTCAGAGGTCAGCCTCAAGGGCTGGCCCGCAGGCTCGGAGGAATCAGCCTGTCTCTGCTCTCCCTCAATGCGATGCTGGAGCTTGTAGGTGCATGCCACCATGCCTGGCTTTTTCTGGCTTCTGAGGGGATCTGAATTCAAGCCCTCACACTTGCAGAGGAAGAAGTAACCCACCTCCTCAGCCTACCACCGACAATGCAGCAGAAGCAGCAGGCTTATTAACAGACCCAAGGCAGTTAGTCCCTCTCTGGAAGGAGCAGGAAGACAAGCGTGCAAAAGCAAGCTCGTTCCTAACAGCAAGTGTCTTAGATCTTAGCTTAGGTGACTTACAAGTTCTATACAGTCCTACTAATTGTGGTGGCCCTAGCAAGGTTAGAAATTGCCTCTAAATCGCTTCTTGCTTTCTCTCAGCACCCAGAGCCCAGGCTGGGGAGGTTCGGGTGTTCACACAGCCCCACAAGCCACAGAACTCACTGAGTGTTGAGAGAGACGCTTCAAAAATAGAATGGTGCACACACACACACACACACACACACACACACACACACAAGAGGGAGTGCAAGCTTCTCAAGACAGGATCGTTTGGGTCTTAACCAAGGACCGGAAAGATGGCTCAGTGGTCAAAAGCACTGACCGTTCTTCCAGAGGACCCAGGTTCAAATCCCAGAGCCCACTCAGCAACACACAACTGTAACTCCGGCTCTAGGGCACCCAACACAGAGACATACATGCAGGAAACACCAGTTCACATAATGTTTTTTAAAACAAAATGTTTTTAAAAGTATCTTAACCTTGGCTATATATATGACCCTGGTGAGTTTTCCAGTTACACCATCCAAAGGTTGTCATCTGTCTTTGTTTTCCTCTATGGATTTTGCATTAGTACATGAGATCACAAGGTGCTCTGGGGTACACTAGACAGACCTACAGGCTGACAAGATAGCTGGTCATAACAGGAACCAAGAAGACTAAGGAATTTCTACCAATAGTTGCCTTGGGCATCTAGGCATAGTTTGGACTATAAATGTGGATGAGCTTGTTTGTGAGACTTTGCTCAGAGGAGCAGTTTGTTGCTTAGGGAGAATAATGAGGGTGAGCTCAAAAGATCCCAGACACTTCAGCTTTCAGCCGTCTCCGCACCATTTCTCACTTAGAAAAAGGAGCATTATTCTTTGCGGATAACTGGATCAGTCATTTCTGTGGTTCCTAAACAAAATCCAGAGGTAGGGGGGCTCTTTGTTTTTCTCATGCCCCCCCCCAATTTTCTCTGTCTTTCTATCCTGCCTTGAGATACCCAATCCACACTGAAGTATATCCACTGTTTCAGAACGCCCTTTAGGACAGCTGAAGTCAAGCCCAAGCAGGGCCCCATGTGACTCTTGTTCGGACACACTTCTGAACACACTCAAGCCACATCCTTCCTCCTCATCAGCCTTCCTCGGAGATAATCAAGGACCAACAGTCACGAAATGAGCCCAACTAGGGTCCCCAGCTCCATTTCTCAGGAAGGTCTCCATGGCCCAACGGTGGCACGAAATATCCCAGCATTACCAGTTTCCTTTTCCTTAAGATGTGAGCGCACTAGCAAAGTGTTATGAGGTACTGGGGCTGGGCGGGTCTGAGGCTGGCTTAGCACACACACCCTTACCAATGTCTCTGCAACTGCCACATGTCCATGCCTATGTCTAGCTGCCAAACCCAGCTCTTGCTTGTCCCAGAGAATGCTCAGCAGGTGTGTGTTGAGGAGCTTGTACTGCTGCTGTTGTGGCTGACCACACCCAATATCTTCTCCAGCTTCAGATCCAGATTTAACCCAGGTGACTTCTAAGATTTTTCTTTTTAACCAGTTTATGACCTGGATAGAATCCAGGTGAATCTCAAGATCCTCACAGCTTGAGACCTGGTTATTACCCCATGTGATACTCTAGGTCTTCAGTTGAGGGGCCGATGAAAGAGCAGTTTTCACATTGCTCCAAGAGAGACACAGGTAGACTACTCTCATCCGAGATATTCCCATTGCTTGGCAGGAGAGGAGCTGTGTGTGCTACAGTGTGTGGGTCCCATGCAGGGGCGTGCTGGCCACTGAGAGGAGGGACAGAAGTTGATAAAACCCTTGTAACGGAGAAGGGCTCGCTCACATTCACTCAATTAACCTGAGTGAACTCGGAAAGCAACAACGGACTTCATGGAGCTGGAATGTTGGCGTGGGCACTGAGAAGACATCATAGTGTCCTGACCTTGGGGATGTGTGCTGTCTGGAAGCTGCAACTCTCCGGAGGAGGTGGCAACAGGAAAAGCACGGTAGAGCAGCTACACTTGACAATGCACGTTAACAGGCATGGACAACATGCGCATACATACCACGCATGTGCGCACGGCTGACTTGCACAATGCTTCCATTGTGATTACGGGACAGACACAAGATGAAAAGAATATTTTTAACAAAGTGCTGGCGCTGCGCAGCTGTACCCGTTCGTAATGATCCATTAATGTCTCATGCGGAGAGAACTGTACTGTTTGTTTGGTTTACCGAGGTCAGCACACTGGGAAGCAATTGTCATCACCGGCACAGACCTCCTTACATATTTCCCATTGTTCTGAGCCGTGCAGATGAGCACATTGGGATGCAGATTGTCCATCATTAAAGCCTTTGAGAACAGCTTTGTCATTGGTTTAGCTGCAACTTTAGTTCTCCCAGACAGCTCTGTGCCTCAGAAAGAGAAGGGACGGTGGCCCTGTTTGCCATCTTTGGGGCCCAGGACCTGGGAGCTGGAAGAAGAGGCCAACCCTGAGCTCAAACTTAAGGGATGTATCAGATCAAGAGACAGCACAGACCCCGAGATAAACAGAGGTCACGTCGGAAGGAGGAAGTGTGTGCTGGACGCTGCAGAGGAGAAACTGGTCCTCAGAATTCCCACAGTGCCCAGATAGAGCCAGACCCTATACGCCCAGCCCAGCTGCTCCTGTCCTTCAGGAAGCAGACATCACAGATAAGACAGCCCTGGAGACAACTGCCATCCAGAACTCTTCAGTTCACTAACCAGGGACTCCACTTCTTACCAGCAGACAGACCCCCTGGAGGGCTCTGCTCACACAGGAGGAAGGAGGTGACCAGCCTCTGGCCTCCCCTCCCCCGAGAGAACCTCAGGTAGCACAAGAGAGCGTGCAGGGTCACCTGGGGCTCAGAGAAAAACACTTGTGAGGTGTTTTCTCGTCACAGGACAAAGCAACATGGAAAGTCTTAGTCAGAGGCAGGGCAAGGGCTGCTTCTCCCTGTGTGCCAAGCTGGGCTTTGGGCTGCTCAGATGGGATCCCAGGATGGAGTTCCCCAGCCTGGTGGCCGCCCAGATAGCATCACCAGCCATGTAGGAGACAAAGCATTGCCTCCTACAACAGAGCACACGACCCTCTTCCTTCTTTGTCTCTGTGAGAGAGCTGTCCCTGAGCGTGGACACTGTCTTACCATCCACAAGGATACTCTAGTGACCAAGAGTCACTAATCGGGGCACTTGGGGAAATCATGAATTCCACCCACACAGCTGTCCCATGGGTAATACCATTCCCATTTTCCAAGTGAGAAACTCAAGTCCCAGAGGCTTCCCTCAGCACACATGGGGAAGCAGCACTCCCTGTGGGATCTTTCCTCTCCAGCAGGCTGGGCCCATCCCTTACAACTACCTGTCACAGAGACGTGGATGAAAAAAAAAATCAGTGGATGCTATTAAACTATAGACATTTTTCTTCTCCCCCTCCACTCCCAGGTCCACTTACTGAAGATGTGCTCAATTCAACAACAGAAGACATACCTGAAGTTTTTGGTAAGGATTCCCATGCACCTGAAGTTTTTGGTAAGGATTCCCATGCATACCTGAAGTTTTTGGTAAGGATTCCCCATACAGAACCCGGTATGTAGTGAGAGACTGGGACCTTCCCCAAATAACCTGTCACCAGCTGCAGACGTCGGGGTGACTTGCTCTGAGTCCTGAGTCAGGCTCTCCTCTCCTGCAGCTTTAGTGCCAACATCAGAGGCAGATTTACCTACATACAGTGTGAGTACCGTTGGTCTGGCCAGCACCGTCCCACAGAGATGGAGCGCGGGTGCACATAAACTGCTACACTTTCTGGCATCCATATCCCAAAGACTATGACAAGGACACCAACTCTAACTGCAGTCTGTCTGGACCAGGTTCCTGATGCTAGGATAAGCAGGTCCACCCTGGGCTCCAGGTGGCTCCCCAGCACTGTCCCTGGTCCCAAAAAGCATCACGCTACCGAGATGGAGGCTGCTTCCAGATGCTTGCTTGTTTTAGCTCCCACTGTGGTCCCACACCCATACATGGTACCTTATAAAAGCCATGAGAGAAGCTTAACCCCGATTTTACAGAAGGGGTCACTGAAGGTCAGAGATGAAGAAAATCACCCGAGATTCTATCTGACTGAGAAGAGCATCAGACCGAGTCTGAGGTTTTATGTCCAGGGCTCTTAAGTTGGAGGCTTCACAGGAGAAACAGGAAGAGAATAGTCAATAAAACACAGTTTAGGTAAGACACGATGCTCTCTCATATGAGGGGACAGAGATGGGACCAAGTTACAATAGGGATAACCATGACCATGCCTGGAGCCAGATTTTCTACCCTTGGTTGTGGGGGGTGTAGTAATCAGTTTTCCAACACTGTGACAAAGTATCTGAGGTGACAAACTTATGAGAAGAACAGGGATTCTTTGGGCTCAGTTTTTGGAGCCCAAATGCTTGGGCTGCTTAGCCTGGATGCTTGGTCCTGTAGCGGAAGCCCATGTGTCCTGGATATATGTGTAGTGAAGCAAAATACTCAGGGCACACCAGGGGAAAAGAGGCCACGCCCCCACTGACCTAAAGGCCTCCTATTACACATCCCCCAAAGGCTCAATCACTTCACAATGGTGTCACTCTGGCAACCAAGTCTCTAACACATGAGTAATGATGGCTACTCCTGATGCTCTACTGAAGGAGAGGAAGGGGTACCTAGGTGCTGAGGACAGCACACTTTTAGGTGTGCCTGTGAAGGGATTCCCAAAACAAATGGATCACGGATGCTCTGATTAACGAATGATTTAATCTGCAGATGGATTCTAAACCTGAATAGACTATTAGGGGCAGGCAGAATTCTGGGATATGGGACTCGTTGGAGGAAATATGTTATTATTATGTGTCCTTCGCCCCTTGCTGCTGCTCTAATTTGCTTTCTGTTGGCACCACACAAGTGGCTCCTTCCACGTGCTCCCAACCATCATAAGAGTTGGCCTCACCAAAGGCCCAGAATGAATGGTGTCAAAAGCTACAGACTGATACATTGCCCTCTTAAGTCATGTGTGTTGGGTAACTTGTCCCAGGAACAAAATCTAAGGCAGAAAATTGGTATCAATGGCATGGGGCCACTGCTATGACAAACCTTGGTGGTTAATTCCTTAGCCTCTGGAACTGGTGTGGGGGAAAAATTGGAAAGGTTGAAGATGTCAACTAGAGAAAGCTTAGGATAACATAAACTGGGCTAAATGGATGATTCTGTTGGGAGGTCAGAATACCAGGGTGCAATAGGAATGTAGGTGGTGGGGGTCAGGAATGCTTTCAAGGGTGCTTTCAAGTCGGCCTGACACAAGCTAAGGTCCTCTGAGAGAGGGGAACTTCCACTAAGAAAATGCCTCCATAACATCAGGCCGTGCTCAATCCTCTAGGGCATTTTCTTTTCTTTAATTTTATTTTTCCATTCAATTATTTACACTTCCTTCCCTCCTCCCAATCCCCTCCCACTCCCCCATACCCCCTCCTCCCTCTCCCACCCTGCTTGAGAGAGGGCAGGGAATCCTGCCCTGTGAGAAGTCCAAGCCCTCCTCCCTACATCCAGGTCTAGGGAGCTGTGCATCCATATAAACTTGGGTCCCAAAAAGCCAGAGCATGCTGTAAAAACAAGTCCCAGTGCCTTTATCAATGGCTTCTCAGTCAGACCCATTGTCAGCCACAATCAGAGAGTTCGGTTTGATCACATGCTCATTCAGACCCAGTCCAGCTGGATTTGGGGAGCTCCGGGCATTTTTTTAACTAGTAATTAATGTGAAGGGGCCCAGCCCATTACGAATGGAGCCACCCCTGGGCTGTGGTCCTGGGTTCTATAAGAAAACAGGCTGAGCAAGCCATGGGGAGCAAGACACTAAGCAGCACCCCTCCATGGCCTCTGTATCAGCTCCTGCCTTCAGGTCCCTGCCCTGCTTGAGTTCCTGTCCTGACTTCCTTCAGGGAGGGACTCTAATGTGGAAGTGGAATAAACCCTTTCCTCCCCAGGCGACTTTTGGTCATGGTGTTTCATCATAGCAAAGTTAGAAACCCTAACAAGACACCAGGTTTATGAAGCTTCATGTTGATATGAAGAGCCTGTTGAGAATTGCCCTGGAGTCGTCCACATTCTCATCAAGAACTTATCTGCCTTTTATGCATGACTTGCAGCTCTATGGGAAACTGGGTTAAAGGTAATGAACTAATTAACCCAGCTGAGAGAACTGTACATCAGTCTCACTTTTAGGCTATGGCATGGCTACTACTGGATGCTTTCAGACAAGTTTCCAGTGAAAGCCGGGGGCGGGGGGGGGGCAGAGCAGAAAGACATGAAAAGTTTGCAAGCTAATCAGAAAAGCCTGTGTTAAGTGGGGGCTAAGGAAGACATGGTTTCCGAAAAGAGTACGACTATCAAAAAGAAACCAAGGTCCCCTGATGCATCGAACACCTTGTGGAAGTTGTCCAGATCCAACATGTGCTCACGGTTTACAGGGCAAACTTCACTGAAACGTTTTTCCTCTGGAGAAAATAATGCCCCTGGGGCACACTGTTCACCTTGGGGCTGCCTGAGAAGTTACTACCCAGTATTATTTTCACAGTGCTCCATCACCTAACCCTAAGACGCCAATGTAGCCAGGATCCACGTGGACCCGGATATTGCTCACATTGGTCTGCTCTCCCTGGTGAGGCTTTGTAGGCACATGGAATGGAAGAGTTGCAGTTCCATAGAAGCTTCCAACCCTATTTTGAAGGAAAGATTGAGAAGCTGGGGAAGTGTATAGCAGGGTCAAATTCCATGTAAGAGGGCAAAGGAGATTATAAACGTTAAGCTGCAATAGAGACCCAGGGACATGGAATATTTGTCAATGAAAGCCATAGACAACGAATACACACCGCCCCAGAAAGGAGCCATGCAGACTGCAAACAGCCAAGCCATAGGGACAAGACAACCAAGCTCTTTTGAGCTCACCTAGCACAAGTTGCCCCCGTGCCAGACATGGATCTACTGGACTTGGTGTTTCCCTGCTAGATGTTGGTCTTGCTTTGGTGCACTTTTTCTTGCTGTTCTTTGGGAATGGAAATGTGTACTCTGTGATACTGCATGTGGAAGCAACTTTGCCCCTTTTTGTGGAGACTTAGATGACACTTGCCTGCAGCCTTCAGAGAGTCTTTGCGTTCAGACTTTAGACATGTTGAAACTGAAAAGATTATGGGGACTTAGGAGCCAGACCGCTGTAATTCGCGGTCAGGAGACCGACATGAGCCAGGTCAACCGTGGAACACTGTGACTTAAGGAGGTGTGTTTGTGTGTAAAGTTGACAAAGGGATTTATTGGCTATGGGTAATCTTAACTGTCAGATTGACTTGATTGAGGCTGTTATGAATATTCCTTTTCCTGGTAGACAGTGTCTAACCCTTTCTCATAAGGTTCCCCCACACACTAAAGCTCTGTTCTATTAAAGTTCACCCTGGAGAATGAATGAGTGGAGTGAGTTTGCTTATGGAGCATGGGGGAGGGGTTACTAGCAGGAGTCCCTGGGGACTGTGAGGCAGGACTGGAAAGTCTTCACCCAGCATGGATGGTGGCTTCTCCTGTTCAGATGGAGGCCCCTTCTGTACCTTCCCTTGGCTTTATACTCTATGCCTTCCCCAGGATTCCGGAGGCCATGTGCAATTAGGGCTGAATTGCGCGCAAACGGTGGCTGATACAGAGGCAAGAGTGTAGTGACTCTTCCCACCCTGTCTTTCCGTGAGGGAGTGTCAATAATCAACAAGTCCGAGCAATGGCCCCTAGAAAGCAGGACTCATGAAGATGGTGGCCTCATCAGATGCTTTGTTGGGAGGGCTGCACCTTACAGAGGATTCCTGGGGGATTACTGAAGCACAGCTCTGTGTATTGTGTGTCAGAGGGCATTTCCAGAGATGGTGAGCTCACTAAGGCTGTGGCAGGATGACTGGTTTAATCTGCCGGTAGATTCCAAATTTGAATTGATTGTTAAGATGTGATGGAACTGTGCTGTGGAAGATGAGATTGAGTTACAAGAATTTAAGGAATGTCTCTTTGCCGAGTTCCTTCCAAATGATCTTCACTCTGCTTCCTGGCTGCCATCATGCAAGCAGTTTCGTGCATGCCACAATGGACCGAAACTGCTGAAGCTGGAAGCAAAATTACCCTCTTCCCCCTTATGTTGCACCTCGGGTAGTGGGTCACAGAGGTGAAAACACTAATTAAAACATGGACATAGGGACGTTCAGACAACAGAACTAACTAAAAATGGATGTGGGGCCATTCAACAGATTGGGGCGCGGTTTAGAAGATATCCAGATGGAACCCACTTCTCTGAAATCATTTAGGGAGGCAGTGACCATCCCATGCAAGGTTCTGTAGAGGGTCCACCTCTTCCTCGGGTTCTTTTTTCTAGCTACAGTGTTCACAGGGCGCCTCAAGTGCTAACTGCACAAGCCATGCAGCCCGCCTTACCGTAGGCTCTAACATGTTCTTCTGTACTTTCTCAAGATGAAATTCTAGCCCAAGAGATTCTGGAGCCAAACACATCATCGGCAGTGTCTGAAACATCAGGAACAACAAAAGTATCCACACAAACCACAGCACAAACCAAGGACAAAAGCAAGTATACCTTTCTCACCCCTCTATGTGCTTGTACTCAGAGAGATCTGAGGGGCTGATGGTGTGACTTTATGTCAGCATTTACCGGAACCAGCTTTGGAAACACAAGAGCAGCTGTGGCCTAAGACCAAGGAGGGAGTCCCCTCTGAGGCAGGGTGTCTTGCTTCACTCTGAGGTGATCTCTGAGTCACATCCATGCGTACCCTGGGGCTCAGCATGTCCATGGCGTCCAGTCACTGCAGGAACACAGGCTTACAGACGAGCCAGGTTGTTACAGTTTAACACACCCCATCCCACAGCACGCTCACCGACAGCTTCCAAGGGGTACACAGCTCTTCTGCTATGCCCTGGGGCTGAGATAAAACCAAGGTCAGTATATGCCGTGCCCCAAACCAAGAAGTGCAGCAGGCAGAGACGAAGTATATGCTTTGCAAAGTACAGCTTCCACACTGCACGATTGTGCAGACAGATAGAGTGACGGACAGTGGCAAGGAGAGGCCTGGGGCTAAGAAGCCCCGAGGCTCTGTGGGAAATGCACTCAAAGGCAGGAGGGTTCAACATGCCCTTGGAGGTGGTTGTTGTTGTTGTTGATTTTTAATGTTCAGATGTGACGAGATTGTAAGAGTTTGTTCACTCCACATCTGCCTAGACATAAACCACTGGGCTCCCAGTAGTTAGATAACACCTGACTAGTGAAACACTAATTTCCCCAACACACATTTTCAACTAGGAATTGAACACTGGGCTATCCTTCCAGCGCAGCATGGTAAAATAGGGCTTAGTGCCCACAGCACCCCCAAAACAAGTGTGTAACAAGCAAACCCTTCCCTGTTTCTTTTCATCCTCTTCATCCAAGACATGGGTATTGATGAAAACTACCAAGAAGATGGCTCCGAGAATTACCATGAGTTACTGGAGAACGTAGACTCCTCGACTGTGAGCAAGGATAAAACCGAGAGTTATGGTAAGTATGATCTAGCCATCTCCCCTGCTGAGCTCAGAGACTACCAGGGAGCCAGCATCTGATGCACTTTGTAGCACTAATAATAAAAACCCAGAGACAGAAATTGGGGTTCAACCTGAAGGTCAGAAAAGCAAAACAGCCAGCCACTGGTTCTTTCCTCTCCCTCAGTCCCAAATGGTGATCCTGAGCCAGGAATCTCAGAAAGAGACTGTGTCTGAGAGCTGCCCTCTCCCGTTTTATAATCCTCTCGAGCGCTGGGATTAAAAGCGTGCACCACTACTGCCCAGTTTCTATGGCAAACTAGTGTGGCTGCTGGGATTAAAAGTGTGTGTCTCCACCGCCTGGTCTGTAAGGGTGACCAGTGAGGCTGTTTTACTCCCTGATCTTCAGGTAAGCTTTAATTATTAAAATACAAATGAACTATCACTACAGCATTTGATGACTGCTCCACCTGAGCTAAGTACCTGGTGCTGAGGCTGAGGGTCCCCTGGTTCCTTAGCTCTGCCCTGGACTTCACCGTCCACAGCCAGCAGAAATGTCTCTGCCCAGGTCTGTGGAAGTCAGGAGTGGAAGAGAGGCCTCTCTGCAAGCTTCCAGCCAATGCACCTCTCCTCTGTGGCAGAAGGAGCGAGCAAGACTCCATGGCCCTGGGAGTCAGGAAAAGCCTCCCTCTAGCAGAACCAGTGCACCATGGCTCTAGAAGTTTGATGTTCAGGTCTGACAGAGTGGTTTGTTGTTGTTGTTGTTGTTGTACCCTAAAGCTTAGATCACATTAGGGTTAGGACTAGGAAAAGAGTCTGTACAGCGTGTAAGACTTAGATGTAGTGCTCTGAAGTGTAACTCTAATACAGAACAAGACCAAGGCTCCAAAGCATGGTGGCTCCTGGCATGGGGCAGGGGAATTCATCAACACACACCCCTGGACCCGCTATACAGCTGTTTGGGCCCTGGGCCCTGGATTTACAATCCACGCCCCACACAGATCCTCCAAAGGCCTGGCCTCTGGTGTTGGAACAGACCGAAGGAATAGTTTCATGCAAACACAAACATGATCCTATTTAAAATGAGTGTTGACCAGTCCCAAGTGTGTCCCACTCGGAGGTTTGTGCAAATTGCCTGATGGTTTGGCACAGTGTTTGCCGAACAATAATTCTACATTTACTTAGTATCATTGAGTAATTAGGACTATGATCTAAGCCATAGCCACATTTGCTTGGCTACCCTATTTCCTCACAATCCTCACACAGTCACTAATGCTGGGCACTAATGCTGACTGTAGCTGATGCTACAGCCATTTCTTCTGTGCTGACCTCGTTCTTCTGTTTTTGGTCTTGAGTGCCGTTCCCATGTTCATTGGCCCCCCCCCCCCCCGAGGTGCTCGGGGCTTATCTGGTGACTCCCTGCCCATGCCTAGCTTCTTTTTGCTAGGTTAAGTTCCCCTAAAAGACCGAGAGCCAGGGATGGCAACACTGCTCAACAAGCCAAGCCAGGAGGCTTGGTGACACATCCATGTACAACTTTGGATCCATTCCGTCATTTCTCTCCCTTTGCCTTTCTCCCCTTAGTTCACACAACCTCAGGCCTCTGCAGGCAGGGTATTTGCAAGCAGATAATAGCTGTGGTGAACAGTCTGAAGCGTAGGGATTTTCATACCTGGGAAATGTATTTGTGGGACCAACTCTTAACCAGGCATGGAGGAGTCAAAAGATGGAGGGGAGAATGTACGGTTTTCACATGGTGGCTTCTTAGCTCATTTTCAGATAAAACTCAGGAATAGTGGTAGCATTGCATTCAGTGTTTAAAACAAGCACTCCCGGTGTCTGCCAGTGGATCATTCAGAAAATGTTCTCCCCCTCCCCTTTTTTTTCATGTTCTTCTTTAAAGACAGAAGTACCGTCGAGAACCTCCACGAACACAGTTCTCGGACCAAGATTGAGCCACACATCTCTTTTAATGGTGAGAACAAAACCCACAGTAACTGCCCTTCCCTGCCACACGGGAGCCACATGGGGAGACAGCATGCGTGGGAGGCAGGGGTGCGGCTTCAAGGTTGCTTTTCATTTGCGATTCTCTGGTTATGAATATGGCTTTTTGTTTCCTGTTTAAAGTCCGCTCTCCGGTTGTTGTTGGAAATCTGTTCATATTATTGTCTCATTTTTGTCAATTTCTTGAGTTTTTTTTCCTCTCCAAATTTGAAGTGTGATTTTTTTTAAAGGACAGTTAAACATGTAAACAAAACCAAGTCTGTGATACTCATTGTAAATGAGTTTTTCAAATTTGTCAGTCGGCTTTATTTTTAAGATTTATTTTATCCATACGGATTGTGTTTTGCCTGCATGTGTGGGCAAGTCCCTGGAGTCTGGAGAAGGGCATTGTTTCCACTGGACCGGGGGGTTACAGGTGATTGTGAGCTGCGGTGTGTGCTGGGAGTTGAGCCTGGGCCCTTAGCAGGAGCAGTAATCCCTCTTAACTGCCGAGCCACCTCCCCAGCCCTGATTGGGTTACTTTTGAGGATGCTTTTATTTCTTTCATGAAAAAAACAACCCTGTCACTTTTGTTCTGTCATAATAAACAGTCTTGTTTTTAATATAGCGTAAACCAGAGTCAGCGCTAAAGAGAAGCTATCATCCCCTCTGCTCTTCCCCATGGGGTCTCTAACTGCTTTAGGATTTATCGGGATAACATCCTCTTAATTTCATCTCTTTAAATATGGCTACACATGTGTTATAGCATGACCTACTCAAAGACCATCTCATCCCCTTGATTTGCAGACCTACACTTAAAATACACCAAAACCCCAGATGTGTGGCGGGTTTTTTTTTTCTGACTTGTGCAACAAGTTAATATCTTGGTGCCACAGGGTTTCATAAAGGTGTATGCTAGCTTCAGAGGTACATACCCTCTGATCTCTCCCCACCTCCCACTTTTTCCTGATTATTCTTCTATTTTTGTGTCTAATTTCCCTTTTAAAAAGCTTGTATGTTTCCTATTATTGTACAGCATTTTATAAGATGATTTAGCTTGTATGTTTCCTATTATTGTATGGCATTTTATAAGATGATTTAGCTTGTATGTTTTCTATTATTGTATGACATTTTATAAGATTATTTAGGAAAGAACTGACCCTTTATGATGTTGAGATTTCTTTACCTGTTTTAGGCTTTACTTTTGGGATTACTTGCTTTCTAATAAAAATGTCTTTTAATGTTGCTTTAAAAATAACTTACAGTTTCATTATATCGTGTTTAGAGAGCATCGTTTGTAACAGTACTACCGTATGAATTCCCCCATGGGCATCAAGCGCGTGATGAATTTTACGAATGTCCCGTGAACAGTGATAACAAAGATTTGCACCCTACTGTCACCAGCCTCGGGAACTCAACGCGTGTTTGTGGCTTCTATTGTGTCAGCCACACTATTTTGTTCTCTGACTCTTCTATTGAGAGTGTTATATTGTTATCCTGTTACAAATGTCTTCTGCACATGTCTCGATACACTTTTGTAGATTTTTACTTCCTAAGAGTGATGTCTATTATTTGACACATAGATTTTTACGGATGTTTTATATTCATTATGACTTTCAGCGCTCAAGACTAAAAAGAGCCTGCTTTGCGTTTGAAGCTTTAGGGACTGCACCTTACTTTCTCTGACATAAGTCTTGTTCGTCCTACTTTATGATTGTTTTACTTGTGAAATTTTTGTTCATTCTCCCACATTTTCATCCATTTGCCTTTTTGCTCATTAAAAATACATCCATAGTGGAATTTGCCTTTTATCTGTGCACTTCAGGGGTATTGCAGTTCAAATGCACACCCAGCACCACTACTGTCTCCATAGTAACCCCTTGATTCCCCTCCCCCGCCCTTTGGAACCACTGCTCTACTTTCTGTCTCTACGAGGGTGTCCGGATAAGTGGACTCACACAGATTTGTCTTCTTCTTCACCATACTGTACTTAGTAATCAGTGTTGCTCTAGACTAAATAATCTTCTTCCTTTTTAAGGCCGAATAACTTCCAGGTCGTATCCCCTCTAAAGGGGTAATTTCTAAAACATTCAGAGAATTAAAACATAGCATAAGCAAGCTGCCCAATCCAAGACTTCCGAAGGACTTGCGTATACAATTCTCCAAAGAAAACACACCAGTAGGCAGCAGCTACTAGCAAAGACACCACGACCTCCAGTTATCAGGACGTGGGGAACAGATCTGCGGTAGGGTAATGTGGGAAGGAGGCTCCTCCTCGCCAGCACTGCCTGGTATGGAAGCTGCCACCTGATGAGGAGGAGCTGGGGATGAAGAGAAGGACATGGGAAGACCTCAGTGGCTGAAGGTGGGAGGAAATGGTCCAGGCAGCTGGAATGGATGCTCAGTGTCTGGCACTCATATTTTACAAGGAGCATTCGACCCTAGGAAATTCTCCACAGTTCATGATTGTGAAGAACCCAGACGTGGAATCTTGTCCTCACACTAGGATCCATCTTTCAGAGGACAGGAGTAACTTGCAAGTTCAGACCTGGGGTGTGTGTAGGGGGGTGCTCTTCTAGCAACCGAGCCATTCTGGAAAGCCCTGAAAGCTCACGAATGTTCGCCTGCCAGCACGTGTTTGGCCCATGTGCAGGACAGTAAGAAAGACTGCTCTTGCACAATGGCGCAGAACTCAGAACCGGCTTGTGATTATAGCACACTCTGTCCTATAGGAAGAGTTGGTTCTACCTGTGGACCTATTTCAGGCACTGGAACCTTACAAGTGTGTTCACTATATAAATAATTATTTCCTTCAAATTTCAACAAGGTGTCATCTTTGCCACCAACATGGTGAACAGCAGCAAGTGTGGGTAAAGATGTAGAGGAAAGGAACAGTCTGCCTTGTCTGTGAACTGGGAGTGGGAAACAGTGCTGCCCTTCAGAAGACGTTCAGGATGTGAGCCATGTGTCGTATGGTGCCACAATTACACTTCTGTGCATGCACTCAAAAGAACTGAGCAATCTGGAAGGTGTTTCTGCACACCCACGTTCACAAAACCACAGCTCACCACCACTTAACTGTAGGAGCAGCTAGAGTCCCCACTGACAAGCAATAAGCACAATGGGTGTATGCGTGTCTTTTTAAACTGCTCAGCGTCTCTTTGAGAACAGAGCATGCTCACGGGCCTTACATTCCATGGAAACCATTTTGAGGATAAATTAACAAGCCGTTTCTCTCGCGGTGTGACTGATGACTGCACACAGCTCGGCCATGATGTGGCATGTGTGTTGGGTGGGCTCACTGTGCTTCTGTACGAGCATACCAAACTTCCTGTCAGAAATCACACTCTCTGGGAAATGCTGGGCTAGTGTCACTGAAACATGGAAATGTGAATTCTGTGCCCAATGACAGCATCTTTCGGTTTTTCAAGACAATGAAAGCCAAAATAAGCATCGTCTGCAGGTCTGTGGAATTAGAAATAATGAGAGGGAGGCTGAGCTGTGGATTGCACAGATATGAAAGCGTCAAAAATAGATAGATAAATGTAGCTGGAAAGACACATGGTGTCTGTTACTTACAAGCACTCTAATATAGCACTCTATCGCCAAAGCGGGGAAGAAAAGTTGGAGAGAGAAGGAAGTGGGATGGAGGGGCTGGGAAGAAGGAAGGAAGAGAGGGATGGAGGGAGGAAATGTGTAAAAGTAACCAATATTCAAAACAAATGCATGTCCCCAGCAGCACCAGGGAGCAGCAACAAACCATTTTAAGGTCCTAGCACACGGAAGGACAATAACTGCATCAAGGCAGGTAGGAGTGAGTTAGCGATGGATCAGAAAGTCCAAGTCAGCACCAACGGTCCAAGGCATCTATAACAAGTCAGATTAAATCGAACCATAAACAAACAATTCAGGGACAGGGAAGAAGAGAAGGAGGAGGACAACGACTAGGAAAAGGAGGAGGAAGAGGAGAAAGGAAAGAGGAGGTGAAGAGGAGGAAGAGAAGGAAGGCAAAATCAGGCAAATACAAAGCAAGCAGCAGGCTGGCAGCCACAAATCCAAGCACCAATAGTCCTTGTCTGATTTTTCTCTCTGACTTTAGTATCTCATTTTTCACAGCTGCAAATGGGACACTCACCAGCACATGTGGCGTCTCAGCTATGAAACCAGCAGCAAACAATTTAGAACAATTAAAAGCAAACCAAAAACATTCTCCATCTACGACAGAAATAAATGAGAAGTCAGCGATGTAAAGCGACATGGGATATATTTTCTAAATATTTGCTAATTTACACAGCACACTTCTCAGTGACCCACTGTGCAAAGAAGTCAAAAGAGGAATTTGGAAATATTTTTAATTGAGTAAAAAATGAAAAGTCATGCTGAAATTTGTGGGAGAGAAATCAGGGCTTCTGTGAAAAGTTATAGCATTAAATGTTTGCACTAAAATGTTTGAAATCATTCACACATGTGAGAAAAGAAATGAAGACATAAAATATCAAGGTAGTGCAGTGAAGAAAACAGAGCGGCTGACTTAGAATGACAGCCCGGCTGAAGTGTGTCCTCTAAGTGTGGTCTGAGGAAGAGTCCCCAGCACCCAGAAGTTTTGTCAGTGGCGGAGGAAGAATGAGAAGGTGAGAGGAGATGCAGAGATGAGGAAAGACGCAGTGGATCCGGGGACATACCCTAACAAGGATTCCCCCAGATAAAGTGATCACACAAAGTTGTCCCCGCAACAGCCTGTGGCAGTGTGGCTAGGCGAGATTGCCCCTTGATTCTCAGCCACTGTTTTATTCATTATAATGTTCTCCTCATCCTTGGGCCTCAGACTCCACATCAGCGGATTCAACCAACTGGGGATCAAAAATATCCCCTCCCTCAAATGTCCTCTGTACTGAACACTCACATGCCCTTTTCTTGTCCTGATTGCCTCATCAATACAGCAAAGTATTTTCATAACATTTGTAATGTATTATTGCTTATAAATCATCTGGATGTCTTCCAAGAGTCAAGAGAACCCCACCAGGTTGTACACAGTGTCACACGAGCATCTTTGGGCCTGGGTATCAATTGGCATCCAGGAACCACTCTTCTGCAAAACCTGAAGGCAGATAGTCTACTGTTCTTTCCCTCTGGTCTAAGGCAAGACTTTCTGCTTCCAAAGCCATGGCTTTCCTCTCCTTTAGCCCAGAGAGACTTGGTGGTCCATCTAGAGGTATGAAATGCCAGACTCTTGGGTGTTTGGACAGCTCAGGGGATGACTGTTTTCATTAAGACTGAAATGACAGAAGGTCACAGGGCTGCCACATGCCCAGTGACACCAGGGGTTGGAGGGAGCATTAAAACAGAAAGGAAATTGACCTTGTGGTCCACACCCTCCTTCGTGGAAGAGAGACAAAGAGACAGAGCCTTCAGTCCCATCTGGAGCTTTCCTTGAGCCCAGCATTGGCGATCACTATGGCTCCCCTACCTCCCACAGCCTGAGTCACACCTTGTAATTTTTAGAAGAAGCTAAATGGAAACAGTAAGACAGCTCCTAATTTAGCTTGTTCCTAAAAATTAAAAGAGAGCTGTCAGGTGGAAGTCAGGGCCACTGGATTCCTGGAGACAGGAATGAGCCGGCCACTGTCAGGTGTGTGTATGTCCATTGTGAAAATGGCTTCTATGGGAGCAGGAAGCCCTTCCTTGCTGTCTGAGTCCCTGACACAGCACGGGTGTGGTTGACAGGCTGAATGAATGAATGAATGAATGAGCACTCACACTGAGGGGCATGCAGAGCTCCGGGGCATGCTTCACTCTAATCTCTTATATCTGCAAAGACCCTGTTTCTAGGAGGTCATGCTATAGATTACAGAGTCAGCACCCAGGCTCTTGGACCGCCGTGGTTTTTCTCATTCTTCTCACAGGGTCTTAGGAGTTAAGTTTTTATTTAAATTGTTGTTCCACGTTGCTACCGATCAAATCTAGAGCCTCATTAACGCTAGGCAAGGACTCTGCCAGTGAACTCAATACTCAGCCTGTGTTCGGTCTCTGAGGTTAAGGAGAAAGGGCACCACACTCTGCTTTTTTTTTTTTAATCAAAGTTTGATCACGGTATATTTTTCCCCACAGAAAAGAAGAGTTCGAACAATGATAAGAACAGGAAAGTGTCCATTCTGGACAGAATCCTTCAAAACATAGGAAGATATGAAGACAGCCTGGAACTAAGAGGCAAGTGGCCCCGAATCTGCAGGTCCCCTGCTGGGCGGAGCTGAACTAAGAACACCACTTGCCAGTGAGGCTTTTCCTAGCAGCTCTTGGATAAGCCGAGGGGGAGGGGGTTGCATGGGTATTTGCCTGGATGAGACCAAATTAAGGGGTCCTAGGCCAAGTCATTGAAGGGTTCCCACCTCAACCAAAGCACAAGTGTGGTTCTCCCTCTCCCAGAAACAGTTAGGACCTCAGAGTGCTTGTCACCCTTACCATGGTCCCAACCACCACGCCTGTCCCATTCGTGACCAGCACATCTGCTGGGCCTTCTCATGGGGAGAGGAATTGGCCTGATAGTGGGAATGGCACAGCCTGGGTTTGAGTCCCAGCGTGGTCATGATGAGGACCTTACATAGATGTTGGCCGGTGGTCCGATCCCTGAGCTGTAGCTCTGGGCACTCAACGTGGTGCAACTTCAGCTCCCTTCTGGGTGTCAAGAGTTAGTGATCTTGCAAGGCACAAGCCAGAGCCTGGCTCCAGGGTGGCTCTCGGGTCCTATTTGCCTGTTCCTGAGGGAGGGCCACATCTGATAACAGCCAGAGGGAGGTGATGAGGGTTGGTGGATATCCAAATACCCACTTAACTAACTCCACAAGCCAACAGAGTCTCTTGGACTTGGTCAATTCCCACAGGGCCTGTAAGGCCCTGTCCCTTATACTAGAGTCTCTGGGGCTCAATTGGACTTTGCAATAGCTTTGGAGAGACTTGATGTCTCCAGCAACTTCTTCCATCAGAACCCCTAAAGCCCCTCACAGGCCTCCTCCAGCTTCATAAACATCACCCTTGACAAAGGGTACCACAGAACCCCAAAGTCATGGGTTTCTGTCAAGAAACCCCAATCCTTCCAACATAGGGGCCCATAACCCATGGGGGTCCCTCAATCTGGTTATAAGCCAAGGATAGTTGAGTGGCAGGCAGGGAGGATGGCCATCTGGTTGCTGTACATCCCTGAGAGCCCCAGAGTGGCCCCTAGAAGATTGCAAAGCTTCTGATTCTGCAAGTGGAGACCCTGCCTGCCCAGAAATTCTTTTCCTATAGCTGGTCACCCACGTGGAAAGCTCGGGCTGTTTGTTTTCAGTCTCGCCCACGAGCCGTGGGATATGGAGCAGTAGGGATGACAGGCACACACAGCTGCTTAGGAAAATCTCCTCTTTCCAAACAGAAAGCATCTTTTAGAAGAAGAGGACCAAGCCCAGGAGGACGGCATGGCGCAGGCGCTCCTGAGCTTGTTAGAAATGCGTGGAGCCACTGGCGAGCTCCACACCACTCGTGCTTAGGAAATGCACACATTCATTGTTATCCATTCATAAAAGACAATTGTTTTTTCCACGCAAGCCTACATTGAGTTATGTGGGGTTTGCAGGGTTCTGCCTGGTTCGTAAGTTGCCACAGACCGTCTTCTCGCTTTCCACGCCTGCGCTCTAATCACAGCAGATTATAGCTGTCACCGAAAGGAGAAAGCCCTTCGACCCCATCAGTCTCTCTGCAGTGACAGGGCAAAATGTTGCATCTTGGTGTTATTAAAACTTGGTTATTCTCGGGCATCCCCTGAGAGCTGTAGAGACGCACAGCTCTTCCTCTTGGGGGGCATTCACATGGAGTTAAAAACTAACATTCCAGGGCAGGCTCCAAAGAGACAGAGAAACCCTGTCTTGAAAAACCAAAGATTTTAGTGTCAGCTAGCAAAATGCAAGAGATGGGCTGGGTATGGGCAGTCCGTGTAAAATGTGCATCTGATGGGTGAAAAGCCTTCGCTGGCACCGGACCTGACTGGACAGTGTCACACAGGGGTACGGACATGGCGGGGCACTTATGGGCACTGCTACCCTAGACGTGAACTGCAGCTGGACTGACCCCTTGTCACAAGCCACAGTCTGGGGAAGATGTTGAAAAGTATGATTGCAGCGGGTTTTGTTTGTTTGTTTGTTTTGATATTTACTTCATGGACATGTGGCAGATTTTCCTCTTGAAGCATGAAAAGCGAGTTCTACAGTTGGCCACACTGTCCTACAGGGTCAGTCACAGTTCATTAATCACGCAGTTCAAGCACTGATAGTTTGTTTTCCTGTCACCAACAAAAGTGTGTCAGAGTTCACAGAGATGTCCACTCCTTAGTTCTGCCAGTGTGTCTGCTCTCCTGGGTGAATTTAAGCCTTTATTTCTGCACAGTGTCCCTCTTCTGTCTGTTGGGCTTCATCTTGTCCTGCATCTAGGAATGTAGCCTAGTCCTGTAGCCCTGTTCTCTCTCCCTCTCTCCTCTCTCTTTCTCTCTCTCTCTCTCTCCCTCTCTCTTTCTCTCTTTCTCTCTCTCTCTCCCTCTCTCCCTCTCTCTCCCTCCCTCTCTTCCTGTCTCCCCCCTCTCTCTTCTCTCTCCCCCCTCTCTCCTTATATAAATATGCAGGCCATTTATATTTAATGTGATTCCATCCTGGATATGTTTGTGTTGATGGCATGTCAATTGTACCACACACCTGATTTTCCCCGTCATTTATCTCACTTTGATTAGGCAAGTCTCTTATACCAGTCCTCTTCATTACGTCATTAATTAGATATTTTATGGCTATTTTGAAGATTGTGTAAGAGAATACAGTGTGCATGCCTGACTCACTAGCACCTAGCACAACCTTCAGAATAACGATAAACTATATAACTAACAACACAATGAAGGATTTATGCAGACAGAATGCTTAATTCCATTTAATAACAGCTTTGCAACATTTTCTCACATTTTAGCAATGCATATCTTTTAAATACCCCCTAAATTATTGTTTATGCACTTCTTTGTCTTGTAAACTTTCCACAGGCCTGGGTTTTTGTTCCCCTTCACTCCGCACACACACTTGACACTCCTGAGTTGTGTGTGTCCCTGCAACCAAAGGATCCTTTTAGCATCTACTGTGGGTCCACCAGGAAGATCCTCCGAGTTTGGGGTATCTGGAAACGTTTGTTTTATCTTCTCTTTCTGAGTAACATTTGCACTGGGTGTAGAGATAGGTGTGTTTCTGCAGTGTTCCCATCACTACCCAAGCCCCACCATCTCTGTCTCACAGTCTGCCGTCACAGACTGTACGTAGTGTTAGACCCCTGTGGCAGTGGGATCTTTTTGACTCTTCATTTTCACCCAGCCCATTACCATGATGAGCCTGGTGTGCCTACTGTCCTCCTGCACAGGATGTATGTCCGTATTTGGGCCTTGGTCTCGAGGTCACCCATTTCTGCTCACCTTCACTCAAGATGACAACTAGGGACTCTTAAACATCCGAAGAGGACAGGCAGACCGGGTGGCAGGTGTCACTTCACACACTCTTTCTTTTGAGATCCTGGCACCTGGAATCCTGAACTCAAACAAGCTTTAATCACATTCCCCACCCCCACCCCTGCCTAGGGAAGTGCTGCTAGCTCCCTAGCACATGGGCACTGATCTAGAGAACACTCAGGTGGTGGGCCCAGTGCCGAGCCTTTATCAGTAAATTCCCTGCCTGTCTGAGTCTTGACCCTTTGTGTTTTGTCTTGATAGTTTCCTAATGTGTGAGAACAGACAGACAGATTCTGTTTTCAGCAGAATAACTAAGCTGCAAGCCAGTCCACCATTCCAGACATGGAACGCTATATTGGCCTAGTAGCTAGAATAATACAGATAATGAAAGAAAAAGTGTTCAAAGGACAACTCATGAGGCCTGGCTGTTTCCACACCTAGTGGGTGGGGGCAGAGAGCACCAAGAGAAGAGAGTCCCTCTTGTTAATGATTGGTGCGGGAGAATTATCTGTATTCTGTCAATCATATTTTAATAAAACGCTGATTGGCCAGGCAGGCAGTATAGGCGGGAAAGCCAGACAGGAAGTAGGGGTGGAGCAAAGAGACTGGGAGAATTCTGGGAAGCAGAGAGGTTCCTCTGGCACTCCTGCGCAGACCACCGAAGAGGCAACATGTAAGCTGTCACACTGAGAAAGGTACTGAGCCCATGTGGCTAACATAGATAAGGATAATGGGGTAATATATGTTATAAGAGTTAACAAGAAGCCTGACCAAATGAGCCAATCAGTTTATAATCTTATGGAGTCCTGTGTGTGATTTCTCTTTGGGCTTGCCGGACGTGGGGTACTGGGCGGGACAGAAACCCCAACAAGCCGGCCCCACGTGCTACATATGGCGCCCGATGCTCTTTTTTATCTGGCACACATAAAGCCCTAAATCACCTCTTAAAGGGGAAGAGATTTCCCGGGGTTTTCACTGACTGCCCACGGTGGACCAAGAACTCCTCGTAGAGCAGCAGCTATCAGCCTCAAGCTTCCTGAGGCTGCAGTGGCTGAAATCCAGGCCAGGTGTGCCAAGGGTAAGAAGGGAAGGGCACCCTTACCTGTGCTGCCCCTTCAGGTCAAGCTGACAAGGCGGGGAGAGCTGAACAGGGCGGGAAGTGGCAGCTCAGAGCAGTGGAGGACCTGATGCCACTTGCTTTGCTGGGAATTTGTCACTGACACCGACATCCCCTAGGAATGACGGTGGGAGCCACGCAGAGGCAGAGGGAGATTTCCTCTCCCGCCCTGGAGCAAGACACGTGATTCCCAGGAAAATCGGATCAAAAGGCCCCGTGTGATGACATTATTTTAGGTTTCTCCTTTAACTGTATGAATGGATTCCAAATGGCTCTTCTTGGCTTTTGGTTTCTCAAGACAGGCTTTCTCTGCATAACTGCTCTGGCTGTCCTGGAACTCACTTTGTAGACCAGGTTGGCCTCGAACTCACAGAGATCCACCTGCCTCTGCCTCCAGAGTGATGGGATTAAAGGCATGCGCCACCACCACTCAGCTTAACCAGCTCTTTTTAAAGGCAGCAAAACGGTTGGTTGAGAACGCTGAACTACAAGATTTACTTAGGGCATGTTCCGTCTCCCAAACCATCCTTAGTCAGGGAAGACGAATCTACCTCCTGCACAGCACAGCTGAGCAAGACGGGGCACAGCACTGTGGGCTCTGATATCAGGGTCCCATTGTCCCCGTGCCTCTAGAGAGTTGTACTGTGTATTACCATCCTGGGAAAACACCAAAACTCAAGATACAGTTCTTGCTGGGTGTGTATCATAAACTCAAAACATTCTAAGTTCAAAACCATCAGGATATGTGCCTTTACCAATTAAAGCCTCTCCCGATGACATGCAGATACAATGGCGTTTCCAGGGCTAAGCTCCTCCCACCAGCAAAGCCTCACTCACAATGCTTAGCTGCACACATTCATTTACCACAAGGGCATGTAGCAATTCCTTTGCAAACCAAGTGTCCAGGCTGCATGGGCAGCGGCTTTGCCAGGTCTGTTTAGCTTCATGGATGATTACAGGTCTGGGTGGGTTTCCATGTCCTCACGGTTGTGGCAGTTCATCTTTGTCAACTAGACTGGATTGAGAATCACCATGGAAACACAGCTCTGGATATATCTGCAAGGGTGTTTCAAGAAAAGCCTTCAGTGGAGAAGCAAGATTCCCTCTAAAGGTGGGCAGCACCATGCCCTGGGATAGAGGCCTGGACCGGACAGAAGGAAGTGAACTAAACACCAGCACACATCTCTCTCTGGATGCAATGCGGCCAGTTGGCTCCTGCCATTGTGGCTGGAAAGGGTGCCCACCAGTACCTGGGGAATACGCAGGTATCTTTTGTGAGGTCTTTAAAGAAGGCTGCTGCTTGGGACAGGTGGGTGCCGAGTCCCGGATGCCCTTACCCTTTTACTTCAAATGTAATTTTCTCATGTTCTGGAGTTTGGGCATCTCCGGGGACCTGGAAACAACCCCCACAGAGACAAATCCATCATTGGGGCTGGGTGGGGATGGGAGGCATTCTGTTCCTGGGTCTCACTGAAGTGCTCACGACCTCTTTCTGGGAAGACCCTTCTCACTGTGCTCCCAACCCTCCCTTTTTCAGGATTAAAAGACATGCCCAGTGGTGCCCCCAGCCTGTCCTATCACTGCCCCGGGGAACCCAGTGGCACCCCAGCCTGCCTTGTCCCTGCCCCCAGGGAGCCCAGTGGTGCCCCAGGCTGTCCTGTCCATGCCCCAGGAAGCCCAGAGGCACCCCAGTCTGCACTTTCACTGCCCCCAGGCAGTCCAGTGGCATCTCAGCCTGCCCTATTGCTGCCCTAGGGAGGGCTTCTTTAATCTGACTGGAAACACACCCTACATATGTGTTAATGCACAGCTTAATGTGCACACTCCCTGCCTGCACACTCTGTGCCTTGTTCATGAACAGACCCCACCGTGCTCTCTCCTGTGGCACACACGCCCTCCCAGGCTTCTCAGGAGGCCAGCACCCACAAATCCTCTGTGGCCGATCCAAGGGCAGCC